CTGAAGGGTTGAAGATGAGTGCACATTTATGATCACGCTTAACATAGTATCGACAAAGGCGTGAATTATGATCATCGATTCTTGACTTTCGCTTACCTCAATAAAGGTCTATTTATTTCATTCAAATGTAAAAGATAGTACCAAAACGTGAAAAACTGTATTAATGTGTTTTTACATATATATCGCACACCCGCAAAAAAAGTGACACGGGATAAAATTTTTCGAATTTTGTTTTATGTGCGAATTATGTTCTAAATATATCGGCCTTTGGGAAAAATGATAGAAGTTAAATTCAAACACTTCCCGCGTGAGTTCGCTATGTTTAATACTGCCGTAAATAATTAACTTTAAAATTATTATTTAACCAAGCACAGACAAGTGAAATTATTTTCTGTAAAATCAAGCTTGCTTCAGGCGATTTATAATTTGCGACAGAATTTGAAATAAAAACTAATTTATAATATTATTAATAGAAAACATTATTATTAACGTAATTCCTTCTTTTCTCTCTCATGAATAATTCAATATTTTTTATTTCTGTTGCTTTCTTGCGAATGTGCGATATGTATATTTTAAGGAATATATAAGTAATTCTAATATCAGAGCCGTATTAGAAATTTGGAGGAAAAGTAGATCAAGTCTATTTTTGTTAATTGTTGGAAAATTAGTTCTAAAGTTAAAGTTGTTCTAATTGTTTGCAAAACGTACACTGTTTTTTATAGGTGCTAAATTTTAACTTAAATATTTGCACTCACTTTTAATTCATTTAGTGAAAACTGTTTAGTTTTTTCTAATTTACATATGGATTTAAAAAAGGACTTGATTCACTTTTTCTCTGAACCCTTTATGTATTTAATAGATTTGTTTAACATCTTTTTAAAAATTGTATTGAGTACTGAGTTTGAAATATACACATAATTAATTATTCTGATAAAAATAAAGATAGAATTACTAGACACAATAATTAAAATATTTAATTCTTTAATTTTTGTTAGAATAATTACCATTCTGATAAAATTAAAGAATGAAGAAGATTTGATTTTTTTGAATATTTCTAGATTAGAATAATAAATTAGAAGAATAATAAATTAGTCTGATAAAACGCAAGAATTAAATATATTCTTATTTCTGTACCAGAAAACTCAAATTTTCTATTTCCGCAATTAAAATAATAACAAATAGCTAATTTAATAAAAAATAAATTTTTTTGTTCAATTTGATAAGAATTTAGTATGTGATGCACAAATATTTAATTTTATATAATTTGCAATCTTGTGGTATTGGTTAGCTATAGTATAAATTGCTGCCAGATAACAGGATATTATCTGTTCAAGCGATAGGGAGATTCATGTGCACATAACCGATATCTGGCATAACCGCATAATTTGTTCTATAGTTCAAAGCATGGATAATGGGAAAACGGATGTGTAACTGTATTACAGGCAGCAATAAATGCATTCCAATTGAACATACTAATACTTGAGAATAAAGTTCTCTTAACGGTAGCTTTGCAACAGAATTAGTGTTTCGCCGATCTTTTTCTAACAAATGACGCTAAGTTTTTCAAAGTGCAATATGATATCACTGCAATTAAAAATATTTACATTTATCTTTCGAGATCTTACGGCTAATACAAAATATGACTATATTATGCCATATCGGGTCAAACAATTGCAAGAATAAAAATAAAACAAAAACTTTGTACAATTTAACGAAAGAAGAATTATTTGCACTTAGAGTTAAACTCATTCAGGTTTACCGTTGAATTATTACGTGCAGATTACGCGTACGAATATAACAGGGTCACTAGCAGAGATTACGTGAATTTCTCCTTAAATTCGTTCCTTGAAGTATAAAATGTACGAACACTCGCGCGCCCGTGCGCTCCGACAGATTAATCATAATAAGCTAAACGTAGCTTACGTCGGGGTGTAACAAGGCAAAATATTCTGAGATTAGTCGTGAATTATTGCGCTATGAATTTGCAGCAGTGATTAAAAGGTGTGGGCGACCAGATACGAGGGGCGACGCGAAAGGAGCAAACAAAATGACCGAGCATGTACGCTTTCGTGCTTACGGTTTTGTCTTGCAGCAACGATATCCTACAGTCGAGGGTAACGCTAGCGCCAGCCTGCACCGTGATGTTGGAGCTCTCGCCTTCGAAGTGAGGGCCCCATTTGTGATCGTGATGATGCTGATGCTTATTCAGAGTGCTGTGCGTGTCAAAGATGTAGTTCAACATCGGTGCATCCGTTGGCACAGATCGCTTCGCCGCCGTCGTCGATTTCGTAGAAATCGAGTCCGTCACCAGAGGCAATTCTGTAACATGTGTGAACGGAATATGCGATTTAATTAAAAATTTGAGAATATTATTTAATGCAAAGTTATTTCACAAAAGTAACAGAAATTATTGATGAGTAATAGGAAATGCATTATTCCGTTTTGATACGAGATTAGTTATTGCTTCGTTATATAAATATAAAAACAAAGAGATATAATATAATAAAAATATATATCATAATGTGAAAAATATATTTCATAATGTAGGACAAGCATTGTATATTATTATAGTCATTAGCAAACAGATAATGCATATATTAAATACACACGGCGCGTATTTGTTCGAATCGTCATGACTGTTTACGACACTATGCTGCGTTATATTTGCATATATTTTCATATTATAATAGCGATTCTCTCCCATCCCGCTTTTTGCATTCAATTCGTCGTTTCCGATCGTAACTCGTGACTCTGTTTAATCGATTCGCTGCCATTTTCCCGTTTTGGACCATCGCTCAGGTTATCGACATTGAGTCAGCCAACCTGCCAATAATGGGCAATATCGGCGTAAATATGCATTTATGGCCGCAACAAACGCACAATATTCTCGTTCTGGTATTCTCGCTGCTGATATTACTGCTACTAACGGTGATCACATACGTCCCACATTTTTCAGTACAGTCTTGAATAATACACACCTCATTTTAAGAGTGATATTGAAAGAGTCGTAAATTTTGTCTAGGAAACGAAAAGGGTGGAAAATATATTCTCCAGAATATATTTTCAACATTTTCATCTTTTTTCTTATTCAAATGAATATTGATACATAATTATAAGTATAATTGCACAATTTATTATGTATTTTGTTAAATGCTTATGCTAAAACGAATGCATCATCGATACATAATGCATCAATGTTACATAATTGTATCGTTGTATTGCATTGCAACGTAATTGTGTCATTGTATCTAGTGAAAGCATCTTATAATACTTTCATAAAAATTTTTAATTCCAAATTTAAAAAAATTACGTTTTTTGCAGTTTCGACAACTGATTTCTTTGAAATATAAATTTAAATAGACGTATTTCAAGAAATGTCCGAGTCTCAACAGCATTGTAAATATAAGAAACCGCGGGTGAGAAAGAGGGAGGATATATCGAAAAATTTGACGTACCGGATACTGACTTCCTTTTCACGAGTCCTATCACGTAACTCCAACAGAAGTTCTATTTGAGAGCGCTGTGGACGTAAAGCCCACTGCAGTCGATTGTTCCACGACCAGAGACGAATTGGAGCACTTGCACAGGTAATCCTGACTTTCATCGAGTCAGCGATAGGTGCGCGGGCGAATTTTCCCGAACCTTCGACAATTCCGGCAACCCCCGAAAGATCCAGAACATGGAATTCGCGGCGTTGCGACAGAAAAAGAAAGAAATATAGGGAGCGGCGTGCAATCCCGCGACGAAGTCGCACGTCAAAAGGGATCAGTATGCCGCGGAGCGCGAAATTTTCTTTTCCGTCTGCGCGCGCGCGCGCGCGCAAGATTTTTCCTCGTCGCATCTCTGACGCTTCCTCTCTTTCTCTTTCTCTCGCACGCATTTTTCCTTCGTTCTCTTCGCCTTCGTATGCTTTCGGTCGCTTCTTCCTTCCTGCTCGTGCCGTCCGCGCCAATTCTGTTCTCTGGATCACGGAAATTTCTCCCCCGCCGCAGGGAAGAAGAACTGATCGGAAATTCCGGTGGAACTGTTGGAAGCGTGTCTCGGATACTGAGAGGAATCTATCCAGTTGGCGGCCCGTCACTCTCTCTTTCTCTCTCTCATATCTTTGGATATGAAAATCGTTATACGCTGTATTGACATTAGTATCATAAATTGAAGACTTCGCTTTGATGTAGTCGCGTTGTTAAGCAACGCAACGAATCTAAAAATGTGCGGTAGGTACGTGCAGGTATGTACGTAATTTTCGTTCGTGCACATTCGATTGATTTGCGATGAAAGTTGAGATATAATTCAAAATGGAAATAGCTATGGAAAACGATGTCTCAATTTATACATTACGTGCGGATCTTTAATAATTCGGAAGTTGAGCTATGAGTTGAATCAATATATAATAATATTTTATTCCAACAGTTCGGGTGTCGACAGTATAAAATATAAAATATTATTAAATTTGGAAGTATATTTTGATGTTTTATAATAAAACTCAATGTTTTCTTTACTTTTCACAATTGAGAATTTTCCATTTTATTATTGAATATGAATGAAATGTTGAATTTATTATTAAATACAAAGGATTAAATATTCCGATGCGAGATTTCACGGCTGTTAATCTACGCGTGCACGCATTCAATAATCGTAAACGAACGTCCTCGTGCATGATATTTTTACTCGTCACGTTATTTTTACTCATAGCAATATTCGGCTCATTTTCTCCATCGTAATCTTACAACAGATATATGGGGGAGAAGATGATGAGGCGCAATAAATCACAGTCCTTTCCCGAATTTGTAACTGTCTGTTCTTTTACTTTGCAAGTCGCGTGGGGTTGCATCTGACTAACGAGAAATGATTCAAATTCAGGACATTAGGGAATCTGAAGAATTGTGATAGAGATAATACACGTAATAAATTCATCTTCGAAAACTTTGAAGAAAGATTGAGACACAGCGATTTATAAACAAACAATACAACTAAATGGCGAAATATCGTTAATCTCCGAACATTCAAGAGGAGTACGGCGTAATTTTACTTTCGAAGTCCGGTATTCGGATACTAAACAGAAGAAAGATAGCCGTGTCGGTATGTCGCTGGTACCAGCTGATTGCAACCATTTGTTGGCAAGAGATGTACATTCTGCAATCACAGGATACTAGATTACACGGCGCGACTAATTACATGAGTTTGTTCCATTAGATACTCGCGAAATCTTGGCGCAAAGAACACGCTCCAAAGTGAGAAAATATATTTTATTTAAACGTTATCTAAATAATTTATATTTTAAACGCAATTATTGACAAAATTGTACAAAAATATTAATCTTTTTTACATATATATTAATTTATCTTATGTATAATTATATAGAATTTTATAATGATGTAAAATATAAAATAGATACAAAATATGCGAGATAAAAATCGTGATAAAAGCTGGACTTTCTTTAACTGCTGTGGGTTTAAAGTTTCCGAAATAAATCGGATATTGAAGAATTGCATTTGTACGATTGTTGACGTACGCGCTTTGAAGTACTTGAAAATGGATAGTAGATAGAAAAGTAGATAGAGCCAGCGACAATTTTAAAGCCGATTACAATTGAGAAATTGTACTTTTTTTGTGAAGAAGTGGATTTCTCTCGTTTCAGCCAGTGGATGCTTTCAACATGCTTTTGTATTGAAATACGCATTCGAAAAAGTTAAGTGTATGTAGTCTGCAAACACTCATATATTTCGCGTATGTTGCGTAAATGAGCGAAGGATCTTGTTTTACTCGGGAAATGCGCGTGTATCATAAGCTTTAATCCTCGAGTTGGATCCGAGAATATCTCTTTTAGAACAGTGGTTTTCAACTATTTTATGATTATTTCTAAGTGCCATGTTTTCCATTTTATATTCGAGAACATGGTCAGAGACTGGCGACACAGCCACTGTTGCGAATACATGGTGCAATCGTATGTTCTAACCCACAATAAATAATTCTGATTAGCAACGTCGTCCACTAGTACTCTTTATGTATCCACCTCGTCTCGCGTTCGTTCTCGTTTTCTCGATTTTCGCAGTGTGCGCGCTTACAGTTTTCTCAAGAAAGTGGGATATAGATTCGATCTTTACGATATTCTGATTTAACATATATAGAATGTTTTTTTTTTCTGTTAACAAATAGCTGTTTCTAAAATTCTTACTTGTTCCTTAGATTTCTATAAACCTAAATTTGTCACAAAACGTTTGCTTTGTAAGTTTTCCCTTATATCTGATCTCCATGTACAATATCTACAAATATAAAGAACATATTGCACCTTACATTCTCGATAGCATTCGCGGGGCCGATTCGTGGAATCGGCCGCTTTATGATAAACGTGTTGCAGGTGCAATGCGTTGCAGATGCTATAAATTACGAGAATCACAGGTATGCGGATGGACTCACGGCGGAACGTTCGGTTGCACGTTCTCTTGGTGCGAATATTGCATGTGTCATGTAGCCACGCACGCGACGTGCGCGTGTATTACGCGACGTGTCAATACGTTCTGCACACAAACGTGTCGTATTGATTTGACGTAACGTTTGGATTTAGTCTGTCTACGTAGCGAAAGAGAGAACGTGAGAGAAAGAAAGATTGTTCGCACAACGAACAGCGGGACGATCGTGGAAGAGAACGGATGGCCGGCGTTGCTGCTGTTGCTGCTGCTGCTGGCCATCGTATCATTAACGAATACGCGCGCACGAACGTCCTCGGTATGTTCGACGTAGATGCATTTACACGGTGTATGCAAGTACGTGGTAGTTACAATTCGCGATGCTCGTATAGGCGCTACGATTGCTCATCGATCTCCCAGCGAATTAATTGCCCACGTCGGCGCGCCGATCGCTTTGTCACTTTCATGATTTGCGTACGCGCCCACGTCCGCGGTGTACCGAGCAGATTAGAAATTCTGCACGCGCTTCAACGTCCACGCCAGACGCATCCAAGCTTCCGTGTGACGCTATGCTTGGCAGAGGAACGCGTCGGTCGGCAGTATTTGCGACTATAGCAATTCTCTTTGGAGAATTTCTCTACGTAGTCACTACGTAGTCTTTAGAGTAAGGGAGTCACGCTAATTGTAAAATTAACATTCTCTTATTTCGCTGGCTTTAAAAAGGTAAACAAAGCTGCGCTGCTGTTGAAATTTATAATTATAATCCATCGTGATAAGCTCGAAATTTCAATTACTCTTATAATTTGACAAAGTTACAGAACGTAACAGAAATTATCATATTGTATACCATAATAATAATAGGATAGTGTAATATTCATGGTACAACACATAGTAACAGAAATAATAAGAAACGATTGAATTGTATGCTGTTTATACGAGATTACGGAGATTACAACTATAATCTTATTATTGTTGATGTACAAAATTCAAATGTCGCGTTATACATCCGTGTGATCCAGGCTTAATTGCGATGTGTAATAAATTTATTCGTTGCAATTTAGAGTACACGGGGTGAGCTAATATTTCGATAAACATTACTTTGTATCTGACATTTTCGATAATCCTAAATTCATTGCGAAATAATTAACGCCCGATCCGATAGAATGTAATTTGTATTCGAATTCAGTTATCGACGCAGCATTGATGTAAAATATTTGTTATGAAAACAATAATCCGAGAAAGGTCCTTTGTCTTCTTTTTTACGTTCTCATATTAATGGGATTTCTCAGTAATTACGTTCCGCGTTCATTCTCAGCATCATGCAAACCGGCGCTGTTGCATCTGACAATGCCGAGATGGAAACGAGGGCTCGCGCGGCACATTTCCGTCTTACGGGGAACAATAACCGCTTCTATCGAGAGATAGCGTGTCTTCAGCAGAAGAGACCGCATCGTCACGAAATTCTCCAGCCGCACATGCACGCCGTTGTATAAACTATTAACGATTACGCTGCAACCTCGGAAGTAAATCGCATAGTTAGTTCGGGAAGAGGCAGCGAAATAGGATACGCGTTGCGATGAACGAGGTAGACGCACGCGGAAGAAATAGACAAAGATGAAAGGCTTATGATAATTTATGATGATTTAATTTAATGTGTGCAATACATTTTAATTAATGCTTAGGACACAAAGGTTGTCTTTTCAACAAAACGTAATAATTGCAAATATATGCAATCGTCTTTCTAATTCTCATTTTTCCCCTTTTTTTAAAGAGTAAAGTTTTGGTTGTAATAAATAGTTTACTCTAAAATATATAAGAATGTTTTCATAACAGAATTAATTTTTTATTTATTAATATTTTGTAATAAATTATTGCGTGTTGGAAGCCACAAAAGTATTTAGAAATTTGTCTTGCCACGCCAAGGATGTAAAAAGGAACAGAAGCCAAAAAATTGTAGCTTACTTACCCTTGTAATATACTTGGTTATTCATAATGATACACAGTTTATTTCTTTTCCACTTTACATTTTTTTCGCTAGTGAACAAGGTACTTTATTTAGGTGAAATATCAAAGAAGCTTTATACTTTACGTTATATTTTTGACGACGTTCACCGTCGTAATAAATATACATACATATGTTTATATATTCCATCCTAGGATTAGTTTTAAAAAAAATGTTTTAGTGGCAATTTTGAACTATTTTTCTTTAAAAAATGTAATTTATTATATTTTTGGCTATTTGAAAAAGTCGGATTTTCATCGAATTTGATCATTGTCTGTGTATCTGTACGCGAACACGATGTGCAGCGTCAGTGTTACGGGCAGTCAAAAGAAAACTCTTGAAATTTTTGGTAACATCTAACGAAATATCATACTTACACGGTGCATTTTCTACATTATTTATCGGTGAAACCTTTAATTAATTCTCTTAATCAACCGTGACGATACGACGTAACGCGAAACAACGTGTCACATAGCGGTGCTATGAGGTAATAAGGGAAAACGGTCGGATGTTATTATCGTCTCTCGGATTTACATACTGTCGCATCCAGGATTTATATTCGAGCGTAATCTAAATTTCATGGAGATTCATCTCGCGTCTCGCTGCGAAGATAGGCTCTTCCGCGGGCACGGCACGTATATTTTAGAATCCTTGTAGATTCCGCTCCAATCATCCACGCTACATGTGCTCGTAAATATATATGTATGATATCTGAATATTATAATGTCAAATGTTTCCAACATGTCTAAGTTGTATCGGCAAACTCGACCGGTCATGTTGTCGAAATTCATATACCAATAAAATAGTACACAATCTCCTCTGATGATCAAACTATATCTACTGACTATTTGGTACTGTTTGTGTCGAGATTATAGACTATAAATAAAATATTGCATTGACAAAGCAGGAATAGATATTTTATACTGTTAGAATTGTGAAATTCTATCACAAGAAATTATTAGAAACTGATACAATATTTGATAAGAATCTCAGTGAAATGACAATTCGCAACAAACAACGATGATTTATTGCACGTTCTGAGTCGCAATGGTTTTACGGTGAATCACAGAGGAACGTCCATCGCGAAAAGCTCTTTGCGAAACGACACAGTATTATCGTTATTTTCATCGAATAATACTTGGATATCAACAAACGGTGTACGAAGCACGGTGAATATCGCATCGTCTCTAGTTTCGCGTTGGATTATAGCGAACGGTAAGGATGCACAACACAGAAGTGGGAATTCTAGACTGAAAATGTAGAATTGCGAAAGTATGTTACGACGCATGGGAGTCATCTGCATGTGTCATAAATCTTACTTACGACAATTTTCTATTCGTATATCTTTTTAACAACGATATCTTATATTATTCCAATATTCCCATATGCTCGCTTGAACAAAATTTACATATAAATGAAGGTAGCGAAAGTGTGTCACGTATTACAATGTAATATATGTAGTTTTCGAGTTTCTCGAGCTGAGCCAGTGCGGGCTTGCTCGATTATAATCTAGTTAACTTTGTTCGAAATTTAACTAACAAATGAATTTTTTTTTGTAATTTAATGATCGCATCGCTGATTCATATTGCGAACAATTGTGGTAGCGCAACAAAATTATAGCATTTTACTGCTGGTTGTTGTCGCGCACATTCCGTGTTAAAGGTCGCACGACCAATTCAAAATGTTCGATACGATCTTTATGGCAATCGACATTGTGTGTACCATAACTCACTCTACGTCAGTGTGTTCGGGCAAGCACTGGGAATGCGAAACGTTTGTTATTACTTCGACATCACGGCGCGAGTCGTACGTCACAAATATGATTCACACGTGATTTATAAATCGATTTCATAAAACCCTCTTCAATTCTGTTGCTTTTATAGTGTGGAAATTATTCTCATCTCATTTTTAGCTCATCTATTTCGCGATGCGATCGGTTTGTGTTGTGGTAATCTTGCGGTGAATCATGGAGGAATGTTTATCGCGAAAATAACACGGATATATTTTTGCTTTACACATAGACGCGCAATTCGCAATGCTGAGTCTCTAAAACTCACCCGTGTGCGTGTCGGATGCCGAAAGGTAAGCCAGACGGTAGATCGTCAGGAGTCGAAGGAGCCACATGACACTACACATGACTGGCTCGGCTGGCGCGGCCTCTCGCTCCCTTATCTATTCCCGCTGCTGCTGCGGCCTGTGTACCACGGCCTCGACATTGTCGTCATCTGAAATACAGGCGCGAAAATCGTGAGTAAGTAGTTGAGCTTGTTACACTAGGACGGTTTTCCGGCTCCGTTTTGCTAATTCGTCGTGTTGAATAATTCGAGAATCAGAAATTCCGGCGTAGCGCTGTTCCGTATATTAAAAATTTTCATTAAAATTTTCATAAAAATTTTCCTTTATTACGACGTTGAATTTCGACGTTGAATCGTGGACAAAATAGTCAAGAATATGCGGAAGCACGAGTTTTAAGCGATAAATCAATTTTGTTTAAAAATCAACAGTACGTGATTCGCCGAGCTTAATTAATAATTATTGGGCACAAATTATTAATCGTGATTAGTCATACCAAAATTTATGTTACCAAAATTGGTTGAAACAAATAAACATTCAATATTTGTTTATAAATGTTAATGAAGGCTATAATTATTAACAAAGCAATTAGCCCTAAAGCAAATAAATCGTACAAATGGAACAATGACATATAATAAAGATAAGAAATCTCTTATAAAGTGAATGTCGCGCGTAAAATGCAAGATCTGGATATGCGGGATGCTTCCGTGCGTCGAGATATAACAACGACGAAGGAGGAAGCAGCGCGCGCGGTACAGAGTGTGGCGCGTCGTCGCTGCCATAACATAATTAACTCATTTTACACTAGCGCTCGTAAGTCGGGCGCGCTAATATAAAAGTATCGCCGTTTCTACGTGTATTAACTTCTAAACTTTCCTTACTGGTTAGCGCGCAAGAGTTTTTGCTTTTCAATTAAAGCATAATTGAACACTGCGAAAGCAATTGAATAAAACAAGTGATCCATCATCATATTTATTATGTATTCGACGCGCGCAGATTATTGAGTCTTAGATATATTTATTTTTTGAGAATTTTAAATATCTCTGTCGTATAGTTTAACTTTTAAAAAATTATTGTAGAAATTTTTAAAACTGTAAAGATCGAACTGAGAATTGAAACTGAAGTTTTTGCATTAGTTGCAGTGATCGCAAGAACGTCATTTTTATTATTCTAATTTTTCATTAAATTAAACTAATTATACATTTTATTTTTCTGTTAATTAATTAATTTATACATTTTAATTATTTTGGCTAATAAAAATCTTACATTATTTTGAAGCAAGAAATTTTTCTAAATTTTTATAATGTTTCTCACAATGTTTTTTGCAACAAATTCTGAATATTATCAGATTGATATTCTACGTATCTTGAAATATTCAAAAAATTATATAATTATATAATTGTAACGTGAAACAATAATTACAAAATTGGTTTAGGATACTAGATCAAGAGATCCGTTTAACACGAGCGAGAAATCTGTGCTCTCACGTATCATCCAATTTCGATTTCGACGACGCAGCAGAATCAAAAGCAACGGCAATTTAGAACACGGAGCAAGACGTATCACGTATCGTGTTACGTAGCCCTTTGCACAGCTTGCTTATCGACCCTTTCGTCAAAGCTCACACCGATGTAACTGGCGGTTAACAACTTCAAGTACTGACCAGTTTCCAAGTCGCATCGTAAGCTAACATAAGCTTGCTTATTAGTATGGCGTTTACTAAAAGCTGTTTGCATTAAATAACGCGACTAGTTGCTTCTTCAGAACTGCATCGAATTTGTATATACTTTCTAATTATATATGATGAATCTAATAAGCAATGTTTTTATTATTTAGTAGGGAACATATTTTTGGTACCAAAATTTTTATAATCCTAACAATTGTTGAATAGGGTTGAGTTATACAAGCTAATGTATTTATGCAGGATGAAATAATCTAATTGTAGACTTCTGTAGAATAGACTGATTGTAGAATAATCAATTTGATCGAGATATTTTATTGAGTTTTTTATCAAGACACAGGAGGAATTAAATAAAATTGGATTATATCACTTCGTGATTCTTGTTAGAAGGTAGTATATCTTTGTAGACGTGTTGCGAAGCGCAAGTCACTGCGAATCGGTGCGCAACGAGGACGATGCGAGGAACCGATATACCGCTGGACTTAAATCTCCCTTGCGACGATGCGCCGTCACGACGCGCTATTAATTCCAAGCGATATATTTCGGTACGTGTGCGAGTGCACCAATAGAGGAAAAGGGACTGCCCCATCATTGCAATTTATTTGTCTCCGGACCGATTCTCGTCGTCGTCGATTCCGTCGATAGTGTTTCGTCGTTAGTTTATTCTACTGAAAATCGTAGCTTGTGCCAAAATTTTCCAAACGTGCATACGTACCATTTCTACTACATACACTACATTCGTTTCGTTTTATATTAGCTATTGATTTTGAATTTCGATTCGTTCCTTTTACAGTTCTGAATTCAACAATTTTTTCGAACCGTAAGATCTGCGCAGCACGCGAAATTTAATTGGTTACATTGTAGAACTCTTATCTTGTTAATTTATAAAGATATACAGGTTGTTTTAAATCCCTGACTTTATCGGTAGTGATTCCTTAATTTGAAGTCTACTTTTTCTAAGAAAAAACCTCGAGAAACATCGTTACATTTTGATAATTAAATTTTGAAGTAAAGTTTAAAATAAATAAAGTTCATCTAAATTTACTATTGATTACTATTGATACTTTGCTATTTAAATTAAAAATTAATTGATTCTAAATAAACAGAAGACACTTTTAAAATAAAAATCAATGACTTCTCGATATCTATGTTTATTATTTAAAATTATAAATGCATATAAAATGTTTCGTCGGAATTATTTCACAAATTAAATAAAATTTAATCAAATGATTTTGATGTATTCATGCTCAATGAGGAAATAGGATCAATGTGTGCTAGTTGTGAATAATCGATGCATGATATACACGTTGGATTTTACAGACGCGTCATTTTGCGCCTATAATGATAAATCGATTTATGTTCATTTTGATGATTTTATATTGAGTCATATTGAAACGCAAATCCGAATTTGTTTACACTACTCATATATTTATCACCTGCTTGCGTGTACTTCGCATATATTACAACTTTATAAGTGAATATTTGACTTTAACACCGAGTTTATTTGCACGCGATATACTTTCTCGGGAAATTTTATTAAGTGAATTAATATATACATATCGGTTATATAATTACATACAATTTTGTATAATCGCTTCCATTTTCATACAATTTGTGTTAATATTTCTACAAAATTGCTGTATTTTTAGACTTCAATTGCTATGCAGAAACGTACTTTGAAAATGCCAGTCATATCGTGGCTAAATAAACAGCTAGAATTTTCGCTCGTCACAATTGCACATCGTTACAGACGGCTTAGACCGCGGCAACGGTTGAATCGATATCGAAAATTTCATTTGTACGCTCGTTTAACACATGTCGGTAGTTTGTCGCGAAGTCGAGAACGACATTTTGAAATACTCGCGGAAATTCATGCGCGCACGCAAACTTTGTCCAACTCGTACTTTCTCGCAGATTTGTCCTTACTCTTATCGTGCGAATTTTCATTTTCCCGTGACTTTTTACGCGAGATATATTTAGATGTGCGTATCGACGTCTCTCGATTTATTCTTCTTTGTAGCCATGTCGAGCGGCACTGCTGCTCTTTATAACGCATGATTTATGCAAATACTTTACTACCGCACTGTACAGGTCGAAATTCCGTGCGGTGATATTACCCGATAATTATGTTCCCATAACAGGACAGATCGCCAGGTGCCACGCGCTAACTTATAATTTTGATAAACTATGTGTGTAGAATGCGGAAAGTCCGTGAGATTATCGTGATTAAGTCACCTAAATCCAATAAATTTCCAATAAAATATAATAACACGCTCGTAATAGAAATCAGTTGCCAAATTATTTGTAATTATTCGTAAAATGTTTTCATCATTTTTTATACAAGGTTATTGATACGAGTTATCAAAAAAGACATAAAATTTTATATGAAAGTGCTTTTATTACGTAAAATTTTATTTTATTTTATCAAAGAAATAGAAGCAAATAAAAATAAAAATTTTTATCTATACATTATATATCATGATAGAAAATGTTGTTGAATATTTTTCGTTAAACTCTTTCACCAAATAATTACAGACGGAAATTAACAGTGTACATAGTAATTTGCAGGAAAAGAAAAATGAGAAACGTCTAAACGTCTAGATGCGGCGATGTATTTGTACGCGTTAAAGCGACCGAGACGTGTAATCTCGTTAATCTTTTACTGCCCAACCAACTTGTGCGACCGCATTTTACGTACAACTTGTCGTCGCGCTACGAATCACTCTATATAGTAGGTCAAGAGGTGCAAGTAAGTTTACAGGCAGAGCGAAGATGGCGGCAGGTAAAGTTGGCCAAGTTTAACGTAGAGGATGGAACGTCACTTCCGTGACTTCAGAAGCGATATGAGGAGGAGAGAAAGAGAAAGAAAGAGCAAGAGAGAGAGAGAGAGACTGCGCCGCGGCCGTTCTTGGAGCTCGGTTTTAATGAACTTTGCATAATGCTGCGCTGCTTCTGCCAGTTCGCTGCGACTCCCATCAGGATGCGAAGAGTACCCGGCGGCGAGGCGGAATATTTTTATTTGCCATGATAAAATACGTTTCAACCGTACTTGCGCGAAAAGCAGGCATTGCTGATATTTCTTTCGAACATAGCACAGTCTACTAAAATACCGAATAGCTTATGTGCGCTGTCTTACACTCAAAAAAATATTTCGCTGATGTAGTTAGATTTCTAGATATCGCAACAAGAATGTATCGCTATTTTTCGTATCTGTGAAAACATTGTTTGTCACATATAGAATTTATAGCAGTAATGTTCTAGCAATAGCTTCTGAAAAATTTAGGTACCATTGCTAAATGTTATTCATTGCATAATCTAACACGTGATTGATCCTATATAGATAGGCGCTTTAGAGAAACTTTCTTTTTAAAGTTCACAAACAATACAGATATATATTCTGTTTCTGTCATCTAAACTGATTAAGTAATTACATATGCAATATCACAACAGTTGCTAATCATTTATCTGTTT